GACTTGAAATTGTTCCCCTGAAAAAATGCTTTAGTTCAATCAGGATGCATTAAATTGATCAAAAATCACAGTAAATATGTTTATAATGTTATAAAAGATTTATATTTCAAATTAATCCTGTTATTTTCAACTTTCTATTTGTCAAAGTATCCTGAAAAAAAGCAGTTCAACTCTTAAACGGCAAATCAGCTTATTAGAATGATTTCTGAAGGATCATGTGATGCTGAAAATTAAGCTTTGCCATCACAAGAGTAAATGACATTTTAAAACATATTAAAAAAGAAAAAAAAACGTTTTTTAAAATGCATGAATATTTTACAATATATTACTGTTTTTGATCAAATCCTGTATTTGTAGTGCAGCCTTCGTTTATAATAAAAAAAAGTGAAAATTTTCCTTGGACTGTGAGTGTTCTTGTGGTGCCATCGGCCAATCATTGTTGACACTGATGAAAAAGATTTATTTGGTTCACACAAATTTGCATATGCTCGCATCGCATCGAATATCACTTGCATTCTTCACATCGCCAGCTGTGTCTGTTAGCATGTCGCCAGAAATCATGAAAATTCATCTCTTTGGGTCACTGTACAACTGCAAACCACTGTCAGTGTAAAAGTTCTTTAGAGATACACAAGTGTGCATACTCATGCCCGTCATCACTCTAAATTCGATGCACATGCTGCTGCATTACTAATATATAAATGCTGTTTTTTGAAATGCTGTTTGATTTGAAGCCTGAACAGCATTTTACAGAAAATCAGACAAAGAATTAACAAGAGTTGTTGTCATATAGTAACACAACTATCCTCCGGCTACAGACAGGGATGTTCTGTCTACTCACATGTCTTCTTGCCTCAGGTTGATGTTAACCTGATTTACACAAGTCCTGTTAGATTGAGCTAAGGGTTCTCATGGTGGGATCTTCGTATTCCTGAAGCCATCCATCGAATTGCCTATCGATCTCTGGCATTTGGAAAATGGACAGGATTCTGTATTCCAAACACAGGCGTTCACTTGTTCCTCTACTTTAATGGGTAAAAGTAAGAGACTGGGATCTTTACAATGACAATGATGGATAACAGTTGTGATCAGCGGTTGGTTTAAATTGACAGCAGTGATTGGTGGCCTTCACCCCAGACTAAAATGAGCCTGATTTAAGGCAGGCTTTGATCTGCATACATGATGCATCTAAGATTACAAGTATTCAGTCATGTACAAGCACTGTATAACCAGTTGGTATGCACGGGTGAGAAAGTGTGGGTTTGTGTCTTTAAGTGTCTCTGTCCTTCTTGCCAATGCTGTCCATTGAGTTTCTGTCTGCGCGAAGATGAAACGGTAATAATGACAGCACCCATCAATATGCTGCCCTTCAGCAAGCAGTGATGGATGAATAGCAATATTCAGTATAATTGAGAGCTGTTACCTGGTTCTTTATGTTTCCTTTCTTTTCCGTGGAATTGAAACCATGCATTGGATTATCCCTACTATAGGGCTTTTTACACTTTAAGATTATCCCCACTATAAGGACTTTTTATACTACACCTTTATCCTTGGGTTAAGACTTCACTTGAGTAATTTCACTTTTCAAATAGGCTATAAAGTCTTATCCCACCTAAAAGTTAAAAACTGTGGACTTTTAATTTCAAAATACTAACTTTTTTTCTCACTTTCTGTTTCTCGCGATTCTGACTTTTTTTTCCAACGCCATTTCACGACCTATTCGTACAAATTCGTACGGGTGATTAAAAGGTGGCCAATTCATACAAATTTGTACAATCTCACTCGAACAAATTCGTACGATTTGTCTAAACCCATGTGATGGGGCGGGGTCAGTGGTACATTCGTACAAATTCATACGAATTGGAAAACACGTAAAATATGTAGGCCTACAATTTTGCAAAAATTGGACAAATTTGTATGAGTGAGTTCGTATGAATTTGTTTGCATTAGCCACATTGTAAAATTCATACGAATTGCCGGGAGATTGCGTTGCTTTTTTTTCTCAGAATTGCGAATTCTGACTTTTTTCTCGCAATTCTGACTTTTTTTCGCAATTGCAAGTTATGAAGTCTAAATCTGAGGTAAAAAAGACTATTTTTGGAGAGATGTAATTGTGAGAAATAAACTCACAATGGGCTATATCAACCCGGTCTCATCCCAAATCGTCATATAACTGACGTTTTGGGACGTCTTTTGACCATACGTCAATATTCGCCTTTTTAGGGCCCCCTTAAACGTCGGTAGATGAGGTTATGGGATCCTAACTCTACCCCATACCTAAACTTAACCCTAACCCTAACCCGTCACCTAACTGACGTTAAAGGTAAAGCGTCACTTGAATGACGGCCCGGGATCGCCATCTACCGACGTTTAAGGGGGCCCTAAAAAGGCGGATATTGACGTATGGTCAAAATACGTCCCAAAACGTCAGTTATATGACGATTTGGGATGAGACTGTGTTAGCTATATGCACGCATAAGTTCCGCATTTGACGCAAGGATGCTCGTCAGTTTAAGGCAGTCTTCAAAATTTACTGTCAAAAATAATCTTTGAAACGAAACTTTCATAAGTTTAGATGTAATTTTATATATAGTTATGTTTATTTAATATAATTTTAAAAGAAGCATAAACACAACAAGGGATGTCTGTTTTGTCTGTTTTTGTGACTAACGTTTCTCATGGAATATAAAATTCAATATAAATTCTCGGTATTGCATTGGACTCTACGATCGGCGGAAGTTATCGAGCATCCTTAAACCTTCACCGGAAAAAACGCTGTGCATAGAGCCCATTCCGACTAAAAAAGTTAAAAAAATGTTTATGGCAGAAACAAGCTTCCATAAAAAACAAACAAATATGGTGTTACTTTTAACCCTGTAGCTGTCACCCCCTTTTTGAGAATGGGGGTTAAAATGCACTATTCAAACTTAAATGATTGGAATTCAAGAATGCTTTGGAATATATATACCCAAGTTAGGTCTTGTTTTAAAGAAAACACTCAGTAGATTATTGCTGAAGTGAAAAAATGTAAGTATGAAACAGTTATGGAAGTTTAAATTTACAGTAGGCCTAAATCAAATATACTGTACTCCATATTTTTTTATTTTATATAAAATATATGTTTTACAACATATTTTTTACTATAAAATTACTATAAAATCAAAGCCATAAATCTAATGTTGCAAACTTGAAGTTGATATCACAAAAATTGAAGTTCTCATGAGATTTTGTTTAGGCGTAGTACCAAAAATAGCCACCGGGTGCCATTGCATTCCATTGAATTTAGTTGTATGCATTCTGCCTTAAAGGAGAACTCCGGCGAACAATGTACCTTTGGTCTAATAAAACATCGGTACCTAGTCAATCGTATACTCTGAGATTTGTTTTCATGATAATCGAATGTAAAGAGTTTTATCTCTATAAACTGTTTAGCGTATAATGCTAGTAATGGGGGCATTGACTAAGTAAAAAGAAATTGCTAGTTTATACCACTAACAAAGTTCAAAATAGCCCGACACTAACATAACGTACACTAACATAATGAGGGTCCATACATGCAAAACAAAGCATTGAGAAATTTGTAAGTGTACAGACTGTTTAATAAGAAGACACTTTATGAAGAGAGTTCACTTTGCGTATACAGACAGGAGCCATCTTAAAAAAAGTCTCGATAAGTCGATCCCCGAACGCCGCTCATACAGTTCAGAAGTTCGCTGAACTTCATACAGTTCAGCTCACTCAGCACGACGTTCGTGGTTTGACTTATCGAGACTATTTTTTAAGACGGCTCCTGTCTGTATACGCGAAGTGAACTGTCTTCATAAAGTATCTTCTTATTAAACGGTCTGTACACTTACAAAGTTCTCAATGCTTCGTTTTGCATGTCATGGAGCCTCATTATGTTATTGCGTTAGTGTGGGGCTATTTTGAGCTTTGTTAGTGGTACAAACTAGAGATTTCTTTTTACTTAGTCAATGCCCCCATTACTAGCATTATACGCTAAACAGTTTTTAGAGATAAAACTCTCACATTCGATTATCATGAAAACAAATGTCAGAGAACGGTTGACTATGTACCGATGTTTTATTAGACCAAAGGTTCATTGTTCGCCGGAGTTCTCCTTTAAAGTTACATTTATGTCCAAATACATTATGTCTATACATTTATGTCCAAATATCAGAACTGTCACAAAATTTGGAACCTTGAAACTCAGAGCTTTCTGACAATATGTGTTTTGTAAAGATTAGAAAAGGTTTTGATCATAAATTATGAAACATTATGATGCCCAAAAGGGGAGGAGCCTGATAAAATAAGTACCGTCGCAACGTTAAATTGTAAAACGGTTTTCACACGATGAATTCTGAGTTTATAAGCTTTCAAATGATACCTAATTTATGATAACTACTAAAATATGTGATATAATAAAAAATAATATTATACTATAATTTTTTTTTATTGAAAAATACTACATTATATGTTTTATTATGAACTTTTAGCATAAAAAATAGAAGTTTCAATGATTAAAAGTGGGTGCATCGACTTTTTGTGACAAAGGTCAGAACTCCTGTTATGATGCAGATTTTTTGAGGTGCACTCTTGTCATAAATTCATCAATTACTCTTCCTACATAATTTGTAACACAAAACAAGGGTAGAATATCTATTTAGTCTTAAACGTTTCCAACGATATGTAATTTGTCATAATTAGATTAGGATTTAATAGAAATATAGTGAAGTAAAGTTAGACAATACTATAGTTTTGTTGATATTTTGTATTACATTTTTTTTTTATATTTATTCAAATTTTAAGGTGCCACGGTCACCTGTTTATGTCCCATCATCCTCTCCGGTTCACACGTAAACTCGCGCTTCACCATTACCCGCACCTGCCAGGGATCATCATCATCACTCACCACGTTCAGCTGTTGTCACATTGTCTTCATATATCATCTGTGTTCTCATACATCAGTGTTCTCTTTTCACGGTTAGTACTCGTAAACAGTTTTGGTACGTTTCTTTTTATATCAAATTCCTGTTGTCTGAGTCAGCTTCGACGTGCCTCACGCAGCCACAAGCATGAAAGTAGGTAAGTTTTTTTTTTAGGTGTTTTTTTTTTAAATTAGTTTTGTTTTATACTTGCCTATACTTTGTTATTATTTTCCAAATTATTTTAAACTCCCATTTGGAGCTATTTTTGTTTGTTTGTTTGTTTACAGAGAACAAATAGACAAAGTAACTGTGCTTAGAATGTAAGTTACTCTACATTAACTTCTTGTTAATTTAAAAGTTGTATAATATCACACTTGCCGTTGGTCTGAATATCCGCACAGTTGTGATTAACTGCTGCTGGTGTCTTTTGGTAGCATTTCATAAAAGCAATAAGCCGCTCAGGTTTGCACTGTAATGTTTCTGTTCTGGGTTTAAGGGTTCAAGATGTTTTACAAACAATAACCTCTCATGACTTATTGCTTTATTTAACACTAATTTCTATTTTGGAGTAAATAGCACCCTGATGGATAACCCAGTATCATACACTGACAGGTTTACTGAGCAAACTGCCAAATAGACTGATTACAGCACATTGAACAGTCATTAAGATGTTAGTATCAAAAGCGTGATGCAGTTTCACAACACAATGAGCTGAAATGAATACTCTGATCTCTAGAGAGGATCACGACGACCGTTCATCATGTCTCGAATGAATGAGGAAAAGATCCAGCAGATTGCACTTAGTTTTTCCCCAAAAAATAAAATAAATAAATAAATAAATATGCAATGCCCTTTCATTCTTCTGTGTGCCACAAGCTTTCCATACAATTATTATGAGTGGGTTCATGAAAGGAAACAAATTGCCATCCAGCTCATATTCTTCAGGGCAGCCACTCAACATTTGCATTCCATGTCCTACATGGACATTTAAGATCTGATCCCAGGCCAGAGTCAGTTACGTCTACATTACTCTGGACACATTTGAAAATGCACCTTTTTCTCTGTTACTTTTTAGCCTTCCATCCATACCGAGACAGTGTTTTTGTCCAGTTTTTGAAGACGCTCTCCCAAAAGGATGAATTTGAAATCATTGTTTTTGTGTTGTAGTTTTGGACTGTGGAAATGAAGGAATTCAATAACAATGATGCAGGTTTACTCATGTTAAAGTGACTAACTTTCCCACACTCAGGATTTGTTCTCTGCATTAACCCATCCAAGTTAGAGCACACACATTAGGAGTAGTGAGTAGTGAACACACACTGCAAACTGTGGATACACAATCTCGAAACAGTGGGCAGGCATTTTTGCTGTGGCACCCGGGGAGCGATTGGTGTTTAGGTGCTTTGCTCAAGGGCACTTCAGTCATTTCTTGCTGTCATTGAGAATCAAACCTGCAACCTTTGGGTTACCAGTTTGACTCTAACCATTATGCCACAACAGCATGTGACGCATTATAGATGCGTCTATGCTCATATCATCTTTATATAGCACTGTTTAAATAGAACTTGAGGTAACCAAAGTGCTTTACAAAGTATACAAAAAAGATAATACATCAGCATAGTAATAATAAAATTTAAAGCAAGTTGTACAATCATAAACCATTTTTAAAATGCCAAAGTGAACATATAAGTCATGGGCCCTATTTTAACGATCTAAGCGCATGGTCTAAATTGTGAGGCGCAAGTGTATCCACTTTTGCTAGTTTAATGACAGGAAAATGGTCAGCGTCTGCACATGGTCTAAAAGGGTTGTCTCTATTCTCTTAATGAGTAATGGGTGTGTTTTGGGCGTAACGTGCAATAAACCAACCAGAGTCTCATCTGCCATTCCCTTTAGAAGCCAGTTGCGCTCGTGCCATGGCCGATTCGTTTTTTTTTAAAGGGTAACTAAACCCCTGGTCAGAGCCTGACTCCACCCACTGGCAATATTTGAAAAATGCTGAAAAAGGGGGCAGACCCCAGCGGAGATAGAGGGGATGAAATAGATGCTAAAACGCTCTATCCTGATCGTTTTCAATACTTGCAATTGTAACTCCTGACTCGCTCCATGGTTTTGACGAAACAATCTGTTGTTTTTACTGCCAATGCCGTAGCTCGCGTGGTGAGCTGAAACCTGCGTACCTCATGAAGTGTGGAACATCCAATAGGAAAATTCAACTGCAGTAGCCACCGTTCAACCTGAAGAGGGCAGCACTAAGAAGTTTTTACACCATATATTGTAGAAATAAAACACTTTATACACAAATGTCAAAAAAGTTACTCAAATCAATGACTGGTACACTCTCAGAAAAAAAAGGTACAAAAGCTGTCACTGGGGCTGTACCTTTTCAAAAGGTACACTTTTGTACCTGAAGGCTGCATATTGGTACCTTAGTGGTACATATTAACACCTAAAATGTACATATTAGTACCTAAAATGTACATATTACCAACTAAAATGGATATATTACCACCTAAAATGTACATATTACCGTCTAAAATGGACATATTAGCTCATGAAATGTACATATTAGCATCTAAAATGTACATATTTCCACCTAAAATGTACATATTAGGACCTAAAATGGACATATTAGCTCCTGAAATGGACATATTAGCACCTAAAATGTACATATCAGCACCTAAAATGTACATATTAACACTTAAAATGTACATCTTAGCACCTAAAATGCACATATTAACACCTAAAATGTACTTATTAGCACCTAAAATGTACATATTAACACCTAAAATGTACATATCACCAACTAAAATGGATATATTAACACCTAAAATGTACATATTAGGACCTAAAATGGACATATTAGCTCATGAAATGGACATATTAGCACCTAAAATGTACATATTGCCACCTAAAATGTACATATTAGGACCTAAAATGGACATATTAGCTCCTGAAATGGACATATTAGCACCTAAAATGTACTGTACATATCAACACCTAAAATGTACATATTAACGCTTAATGTACATATTAGCACCTACCTACAATGTACATATTAACACCTAAAATGGATATATTAACACCTAAAATGTACATATTACCACCTAAAATGGACATTAGCTCCTGAAATGGACATATTAGCACCCAAAATGTACATATCAACACTTAAAATATACATATTAGCACCTAAAATGTACTTATTAGCACCTAAAATGTACATATTAACACCTAAAATGTAAATATTATCACCTAAATTGTACATGTTAACACTTAAATTGTACATATTAGCACCTGAAATGGACAAAAATTTACCATTTGAAAAGGTACAGCACCAGTGACCGCTTTTGTACCTTTTTTCTGAGAGTGTATTAATAAAGATCCATTCTTACAGATCATTTATATATTTTTTTTCCCTCTTTGAGTAGACAGCAAGTATGTGTCCCATTGCTAAATGTGTCTTAGACTTGAAGCGTGTCCCTGATGGAACACAGTGGAAACATTGAGCTTCACTTAATATAGACAGTGAAAATTCCATCTAAAACACTTAGATAATGTGCCTTGAAGAATGGATGGCTAATGGATTCTGGCCAATAACCCTTTAGATTGCAGCAACAGCCAAATATCCTCAGTCTTCTGTCTTGGTAAATTGTCTTGGAAAATACTTGGTCCGTACCTTGTGCTCGAAACAGCATGAATGAAATCTTAAGTGGCTCCGAACTGGATCCACTGTCATCCTCACAATAGGACATCATGGAAATTCGGAAGTTGAGAAGAACTTCCAGTGGCTCATTCATTCCAGCTGAAATGTGGTCTTGACCTTTCTCACAGTTCTTTTCTGGTTGCTTCATCAACATGGGAGAGAGATAGAGGCAAGTTCTCTCTCACTGCGTCTGCAGATAGTGCTTCTGTTGAGAGATGGCAAATCAACAGTGGATGGTTGGGCTTGTGTTTTCAAGCAAACAACTCCGCGCCCCCGCCCCCCTCCCATCCGCTACGAGAGCAAACGGGGTTAGAGTGGGACACGGTGCTGACACGCTTCAATCCTGCAATCTTAAGCACTCCTCGGGGCCTGTTTTGTTTTCTCATGCTCCGACAAGATTCATTTCCCCCCCCCCCTGCAAGTTCCATTTGGAAAGGGGAAAATAGTATTAATAAAATATTAAGTCATTAATCAAACATGCTGGCTTCTTCGCCAGTCCAGCGTGGTTATTGGGGAGAATTTAACGCTGTGGCAGGTAGCGAGTCTAGCGACTTCCCTTCCAATGAACAAGCTTTCAAAATTTAAACCGAGTAATTGACTTATGCTCCCCAGACGGAGCACTGTAGTAATGGATGACTCAGACGCTCTCTACGTTTCCAGAAAATGCATTGCTTCGCGATGCAAAGTAGCATTTCCACACCTTGCGAGCGTGATTTATGCGTGCGTGCAAGCTATAACGGCTGGAGTATTTTGAAAAAGTGGCAAATCAAATCCAATCAGGACTGCGGAGAAGGAACTCCAGGCCCTCGTTTCTTATCACGCACCTTAGACTCTAAAAGCGCTGTTCGGCTTTTGAGTGGTTCATTAACAACTTGAGGGTGAGTAACGAGTTCCACAAGAGTTTTGCTCATTCGGTGGTTAGGAGCTTATTGATTTCAGAAGCTCTTTGCTCTATTCCGCCGTATGCATTGCCTTGAATCAGCATGAGCAACGAAGGCCCCTAATTCATCATTACAAATCAAATGCTCACTCACATTTGCATACACACTGTGCCTATACTTACCAGCACACGTGCTCTCGTTTGTCTCTGGAAATCTCCATAGAAACTGAGATATTTAGACTCGTTGGTCTTGTGAGAATTATTTACTCTCTGGTAGTTATCGGTGACTAGATGAGTAGAGCTGTGTTTGTATATGGTGTTCAGTGGTCATTATTTGTGATTGCATTAAAGAGCTGTAAGGTCTTGCAAACATTTGTTTGAGAATAATATCAAAACTGAGAACCAATTCTTGTATTAACGTCTCAGTAAATGAAGTTGGGCCACCAAATTTATTGCGGATATCTGAAGATTGTCTCATCATAAACTAATAACAAAACTCCCGCCCTGGGGTATTACTGCAGATAGGCTATAAAGCTTCGCTGTGCTAAACGCATTGATGAAACGATGAAAATTT